TAAAATAACTTACAATGAAAATAAGATTCTAACGGTCGAATACATTAATCTTAAACACTGCATTTTAATGGAATTTGGAATTTGAGTATGGACTTAAATTTCGTTTTCGCATCTTTAGTTTTATATTTCGTATCTTAAGCCTAAAATACAAACGTTTTAATTATGGTCCTTCATTAAATGAAACATTCATAATAGTTAACATTCAAATAAACAATGGAATAAATGAATAAAGTACACCTTTGTACGTATTTAATAGAGTCGTCGCACATTATGAATAATTCGGCGTACGTCACATTAAATTATTTCGACTAAGTAATTCCGAGCGGTTAATTATTGTGCACAACCTGGGAGGAGAGTTGAGAATGTAATTATTATTAAACTTTACGATTGTCTCACTTTACCCCTTTCTCGAGTATCAAAGTATCTGTACGACGCACCCGACACGATACAACAATGGAAATTAAATTCTATCACAATAGCACAAAGGTTCATATTAAGAAACCACAAAGAAGATGTAATATGGCTTTACTTTGATACATCACATCCTTAGATCCTTAGGGGGTTTCTTAGCTTGTTGCGGATTCATATTTGAGCTGCCATCTGAAATTTATAGATGTAGGTAGAATTTCCAGTAGCATTAAATTGTAGGACAGGTACGATATAATTGAAATAAAACTCCCAAGTTGACAAAGGGAGGGAAATATATTTTGCCTTTATTGTATTCATTCCGGAAGATTTACTTTGAATGTTTCCAAAAATTAAGATTGCTGATAATTCAAATGGGCATTGAATTGTGACTATTATATTAATGGATAGCTGGTCGTAATAGTTTACTATTCAGATATTTTAAGTGCATATTGTATGCACTAACAGCAGGGTAACTAAGGTTTCTCATCCATAACATTCAGTGACACAAATAAACATTGCATCAACATCGTATTTTCTACATAATAAATAGTTACATGCTTGATTTGCTGCATTGCTATTTAGTTTATTAGTCTGCCATTTAGTTTCCGTGTAGAAGCGAACTGTCCGACCGTATTAGGGTCCTTGCCGGGCGTAAGTCACAATGCGCTCGATATTCGAAGTGCGTTCGATAGATGGCGCGCGTGTGGTCGCGTCGCGTGCGCGTGCCGTGCGCGGTGTAACCGGAGCGACGCACAAGTAACACAATACGGCCGATGTCTCGCATATCGGTACATTGCAGCAATGGCATTTTAATATACCGCCGTTAATGTCACTTATTGTTTACTTACTTCCACGGACGACTGATATGCGTAGACCACATTTTATGCGGCGCTAGATTAAGGCGAGTGAACAAGCGACCACTCTAGACACTTTGATCTTTGTTAACCGACATAAATACAATTTATTATCGCTAATTTTGCCATTTCGGCATAAACCTTAAAAATCGCACATAAATATCAAAAAATGCTAAAGCAAATATTAGTTGTTTTTTTTAATAATCGTGTTAGAAATACCTTTGAATTATTTTAACTCTAACCCTATGTACGTATCAAGTTTACATTGTAATTTACTCAGTCTCGAGGTAAACAAACATCGATTAAAATGATCGATATTCCCAGCACCTCAGTGGGAGAATGGCGCGAAAGCTGGCGCGCCGCGGCAACAATGCGTCGTTGGCAGTATCAAGGCGCGCATCGCGGGGGCTCACTACCCGCGGGCGGCGCTCAGACCTGGAAGCTCACGAGTACGAACTAGCTCCAAGGCTCTGTTGGACAGCTGTGCTGTTATTATGTGCGTTTAGTTTACAATACGATCTAGTTATCGGATTTACCTAGCTATTAAATATTCTTAGAAGTTGTTACCAACGAATCTATATTGGTTAACTCAATATGGTCAAAGTAACAATTTCAGAGACAAACTAATATAAAGTTTGACTAAAGTTCGTTGGAAATACAATTATGTCACATAATGGTTTATGGCTTAATAGCTGTTATTTGCATATTTTGTCATTTGTTCACAGTAATTGAAACAACAATGATTTTATGCATTAATTGAAAACAAAGAGCGGTTTTCAGGGTGAAGCCACAAAATAATTAAAGCGCGGTTACATCCAGGCAGATAGTAGCCGTCGCCGGTCATTGTATAAAAGCTTTCATATCAATTGAATCCATTAGCTGAGTACACAAGTCCTGTCTGTCTATTTGCTCATCAGTTTTTATCATTGGCCAGTTCGTGTTTGTTCGATCGGTCACTTCCACGTTATTGATGGCTTGATGCGATACAACGGACAATCGCTATTTGTGATCATCGCATTGCAAGCAAATTACGCCTTTATTGCCTTGTAAATAGAAGCTCCGCGCTTTTATTGAGAGCTACGCCGGCGGCCGTGTTAAATTCTGCAAATGTTTGTTTGTGTAATTCCGTTAATGTTCCTACAGATTGATAATAAAATATAGAATGGAATTGACTCTCGTATGTTAGATAAATTGACGCATAACCTCGGGTAATGTTTTAATTTTTTTGATATAACAATTTGATTTTAATATGTGGAACATAATTTAGTAATATCTGATAAACAGAATCTAGTATTTATACCTCAACATTCAAGGATTATTTCAAGAAGTGTTGAAATTAATTTTGTAACTATATTACTATTATACTTTGTCCTTTAATCTTAATTGCATTTACAATCGTTTAAATAGCAATAACGTGATAATAACTACCACTTTCAACTACAAATAAGCGAAGTCGGCTTTAAAGTCTGTACAGAGAGCCATAAAGTATTCTTGTCGTATCAGCCAGCGCGTGTGCCATTTGTCCGGCGACCGGCACTTAGCTAAACAAAAACTGATAGTTGTAAAACAAAAGAGCGCAACAAAACAAAGCACCTACAAGACCTGACCATTCCCTCCACGAATAAACTAAGCGGTAAGAATTAACAGGGATAAAGGATTAAAAGAGTAGCCGAAGCAGATTTATGTCGCCGCGATTGCATCGGACCGATTCCGCCGGTTGCTGGCGTTTTATTGCAAAGGCGCGTAAACCACTAAAGATACACTTCTGAATACTTACTCTCCAACTCTCTTAGTATTTGTTGTGGCTGGATTTATTTAATTGCCGCTTTACAAGTACTGCTACATATCAAATGCAATTAAATATGGTAAGCGTTATCAAGTTACAAAACTAATTACTATTTGCACGTATAAAACACACCTATGGTCTTAGAAAGGTAACTTGAGGACAGGTCTTAGCATTTCGTGATGAGCATTTGTTTTAAAGTAAGATAAATAATTCAAAATACGATGTCGAATAGAAACGGACTAGTTAAAGATTGCTCAAATTTATATTCTGTTTGAATATAGTTAAAATGTGTAAACAGAGTTGCAGAGCGCGTCTCAAAGTATCACTTACCGGCACCATTGCTCATTCATCGCGAGTCTATTTACAGGAACGAATCGTCGCTGTTCTATCACGGAGTCCTTTCACGCAACCCTTGCCGGGTTATCTGATAGCGTGGTGAAAGCGGACACATTTGTCCGGACGTCACCCGTTCACCGCTAGTGTAAAAATTGTCAGCGAATGCGTCGAGATAGTGATCTGCCATTTGTGGAGTGCGAGGGTGTGTATGAATACGCTCGTACGTTTTGACGCTTGTGCAAGCACTCTAACACACTGTTAGACTGTTAAAAACGAGCAAATGTTTTACTTTGACACGTTTGAAATCACCAATGTTTAAAATTCTAACTAGTTTTTCAAATATTAATTTCATGAATATATTTTCAAATGGTTAACCGATTCGTTACAAACATTCGTTTTCTCTTTGGCTATTGATAGACAGTATTGTGATTGAATTTATCTAAAAAAAAGTAAAGGCGTCATCAAGTGTCCTTAATTTTGTTAGGTCGTTTATTAAAGTTTAAGGGCGATATGTTTAGTATGTAGTCTGCATTTTACTACTTAGTGTTAATATAATAATCGCAACTAAAATGCAAGGCTCTTTCAGTAACACCTATCAATCGAGAAGGCGAGGGCCGTGATTGCTGTAATTCTATGAAAAAAGATCAACAGTAAAGTTCACCATATGCATCGATTGGGAAAATGTTTCATCAACAATAATTTTATTATCGTAATAACAAAATTACTGGTTGGAAACATACGCAGGCAATTTTGAACCTTAAAAGCGCGACGAGTTAGAGGTTGATTTCTTTAACATTCACTTACATATCGGGGGGAGAAATGGAACCTTTTGTTGGCCTATAGCATTATTATTTCTCATTTTGTTTTGTTTATTAATACAATTGGCCCGGGGCGCAATATTGATATTCAAGTTTGATGATGACTCGTGCCGCGAGTTTTCTCCCCGACCTCTCCTGTATTTTTATGGGTTTTATAACAATTGGGTTTTGTTCGTCTTTTTAAGCACGGGTGGTTTGTATTACATTTAATATATTCCATTATTTTTAGATCCATTTTTAGAATAATATTTGACTTGTATTCTAAGTTATAACAGAATTTTTTTATTAAAGTTTCTAAAATGTTTAAATGCAACATTTTATTGCATAACATTTATAATAATATCCTTGCCTAGGCCCTTAAGAATTGTTTTAAACGAAGTTAACAATATCTCATCGAATGTCTTTCGTGGTGAAAATGGAATGAGGTGAATGAATAACTCGCAGAAATATCAATTAAACAATTATCCTGTCGGAGTGCAATTGTATGTAATGATAGTGGGTCGAGCCATAACTCATGCGCATCTGTTACTACGGCTATTTGTTGAAGGCACGACATGCGCCCGCGCAGCCGCTGCCTGGAAACCTTACTTGCTATACGGTAAGAGTTCGGAATCATTTTACATTTGTACTCCTTTTAAGAGGGTAACTATTAGCAACCACAGAAGATCAATAGACCAAACAATCGAATGCCGCAAATCTTTATTATAATGTCTAAAAAAGAAGAGAAACAGATTCGGAACAGATTTTAGTCTCAAACAAAATCAAAATTTTCGGACACAAACATTGTACAATGCTTACCTTTCTCGTAGCTGATCTGGCGTTCTTGCTGGCGCGCGTTGTCGGCGGCGACTTTGAGCAGGCCCTGTATGTTGCGCAGCAGCGTCTCAGTGGAGGAGACCAGCGTGTCGGCGCTAGGGTCTACAGGCACCGGCGTAGCAGGCGTCGCCGCATAGCTCACCGGCGCTGGAGACGTACCCGCCTCGCCCTCCTGATCCATTTCGCTCAGATCTGCTCCTGGGGCAATGCCATTACTTAAGTTGATAAAAGGACAAGAGATTAAATTTAAACATTCATTCATTCGTCCTTCTTTACGTGATTCAATACAAAAGTCAGTATCCTAAAATGCCTTTGAATATGCGTCAACCAGACATATCACAACGTCCTCCTATCTTTGGCTTATCTCAAGGAATTGGGATTACTTATCTTTTGAATCAAAATAGCTGAAGTTTTGCATGAAAACATCTGATGGAAATGCTTCAATTGAAAGAGCACTAATCGAATTTTTATCATCAACGTTCGATGTTCAAGTGGTGTATAAAATGATAAAATCAATTGGAATGATATGTTAAAACAAGTCGTTGTGTTCCGTGAGAGCGATACATCAAGCAGTATGATGCGACTGCGCAGATCGCGTGCGTATCATTGCATTGCAATTATTATTGCCAGCTACATCGGTATCGCGTGGTTATCATCTCCGAGCTTTGATAGCAACGGGAACATATTCACAACAAAGAGAAATTATTCCGTATGAAGAATGTACTAGCGATTTATTTTAATCTGTAAAACTTATTGAGAATATGAAATCGTTTTGCTCGAAGCTTTGAACTTATCGAAATCGTCAGTTTATTGGTATATGAAGACAAAACACTTTGGAAATTAATCAGAAACGACTAGGATTCTTATAAATTGATGTTGTATAAACTGAAACTTGAAATTTCCGAACAAAAACCTTTAATTTTTCTTTCATTATTCATTAGAATTCGGCTAATCATAGAAAAATTAAGTTTACTCTTCATATCTTTAATGTAAGTCGTCAAATCAGCTAGATATTAGTACATTTACATGAAACAATTTTCTACGGTTATTTTTGTTGAATTAATCATTTACAACAATTCTCATTGTTTTAATTTGTTTTTTATTGTTCATGATAGAAAAAGTGTTCTGTTTGGCGTCTCTCACGGTTCAAAGTGATCTATCGATACATTTAATTTGCCTGACAAGATAGTGAACGCTCATCACATAATGAAGACAACATCGTTTCGTCATTGTCGATGCGCACGATAGCACTCTCCAGTTGTCACAACACCATCTTCCTAATAAGGCCAATTAACACAATTTTAAACGATCTACAAACAAAATTATACCATAAAATAATGGCCATACATATCCTATTTCTATATCAAAAAAAGTTGCGCTGTAAGATCTTTTAAATATAACAGTATCTTTAGTCGGCAATGAGTGACGATTAAAAGAAAGAGGTAATCTCAACAGAACAAAGATTAAATTTGAGTGACGGGATGGTAACAAAAAATCGTCCTATAATGAGATTTAAGTAATCGTGACGACCTCTCAGCTATTGAAAGATATAATTATAAGAGATGGAACATTTTAACTTAGATGTGTGTTAAACGAACATATACAATTGAATGGAGGCGCTGGTGATAATCCTAAAGTTAGCGGTAACATGTTTATAATCAAAGTGGTTATGGCTTAAATATCTACAGTACAGTACTAGATATCCAAGAAACTCTTTTGTTAATTACATTTCTGTGGCATCTAATATCTAATATTATTTTAGTTTCCCGCATAGTAGAAGTAAATGGTCGTTCTCACGCTCCCCGCGCATTTTGTGCGCATCTTGCGCCGAACACAACACACAATCCTTATTGTTTCGCTTAATTTAGCCATTGTATGCTTCCAATATTTACATTTGCTGATCATTGTTTTGATTTACACCGTTCAGCGTCATCGATTGTAGCGTTGCTACCACTACTTTGCATAATAGCCACCTCTTATAGGTCATTACTCCCTATTCATTTGTAATAACCATTGAATGCAATGCTTTATAAAAATGCACTTATAACTTCATTTTAATATCAAGCACCTTGTTAAAGAAAACGAATGTCTTGTTCATAATAGTTGGCGGCGAAGAGCGTTATGTATCGTTAACCAAAAATTTGGCTTCCGATTATTAGAGATATTTGTTTATCTATTCTATAATAACTATCCATGTAACGGCTTCTATAAGTAATGTTCATAACGTGTTTTCACTTGATTGATGGTCCAGTGATAGCGGCAACTAAATTGATTACAATAATTTTAGCAAGCCAAGATTCAATCAACAAAAAGCTGCAGTTAAAACGAATGTTAATATGTCGCCAGGGAAATTGTCATGTCATCATCAATCTAATGGTACAACATCGGTGGTAATAGCGAAATCTTCAGACTAACATTAATGTGACATTTATTATCGTAATGATCACCGGATGGTAGTTTAAAATCAATAAACCGATATTCATTAATAATACTTTTTTATTCAAATTGAAAGTATTTATTTAATTACAAGTCACAATGTAATTAATATCTTCAAAGTGCAACACAAATTTTAATGTTCAATGTGACATCTACAAATCTTACTAAGATTGGAAAAGTACCAAAGGATATTCTTGGCAAATAGGTTCTAGTAAATAATTCCTATTTTATACAAGTTAATGAATTTCTCGTATCCATGTACATTTTTCTAGTAATAATCTTGAAGGGATTTTAAAAGATTGTAGTAATATAAAGTACAGCGCTCCAGTGTTCAATACGCTCTTCAGGCAAGGTGCAAAATTGAATTGGGTCGTTTTAAGTGCTATTCATACATCATTGAGGGCAATTGCGGCCAATACTCGTAATAAGATTTTATTATATCGCTCCATTATAAGCAAACGTGCGGTGTCTAGGGATCAAGACAGGCTACGGTATGGGAACGAACACGATCGGTTTATTAATGGCAGGAAAATTGTTCACTACTTTTACTTACACGGTACATATCTAATCATTTTTAAAGCAATTTCGTTGTAATTTATCAATGAACGTTTATCAAACGTAAATAAAATTAAATACTATAATGTCCAGAACGTTCTTGGAGTCTCACCAAGCTGTTATTTGTTAATGTTAGGTTATTATCCCATATTGTTATAGGGTCATCTACGGAGGTTCGTCGAATGGAAAGTCTGAACGAAGGTTTAATACTATTATTTTAAATTTATATAAGGGATGTCGTGTCTTACCGTCATCCTCGTCTTTAACGTTATGTTCCTCCTGGTCGGACATAGCCGCGTCGCTATCGTCGGAGTGCGAGCGCGGTGAGGCGGCGCCAGTGGCGGCGGAGGGCAGCCGCGGGGGTTGCGGGGTGCGGCGAGAGGCGGCAGAGCTTCTCCCGCTGGCGGACCCCTCGCCCCGCTCTCCGAGGTCGCGGTCGACTCTCTCCTGCCGGTCGCGATCTACCCTCTCTTGCCGGTCGCGATCTCCAGACCCAGATTTGGACAAGTTCAGTACAGGACTGTGGCCTGGGGAAGAGCCTGTAGGAAAAACAAACTCAAATTGATTCAAGCTAACTTTTGCAAGTCCTTTGAAATTGTCGTCATTCATAGCATAACAATCAGTTAGCAGCAAACGGTCTGCTTGGTCCTTTTAACGATCAGAAATCCATTGATTTTTTTCTAATTTCCTATAATTATATAAACTATTTGTGAGGTGATTAGAGAATAGGTACTGCATACATGGTTATTGTTAAATTCTTGTAGATGAAAATGCTTTTTAAGATTTAGCTATAATTTATTGATATAAGATAAATATTTCATATTTACCATTGTGTGAACCTTCGCGGGCTTTGTCCATCGCTATAACACGTTCAATGTCGCCTCGTTCATCGCGCAACCTGCAAAGAACAGAATGATTTTACATAGAAAACAAAAGTAATCAATCATTTTAATAACTAAACTTGTTCAATAAATATATTTAATAATATTTCATATAGTAACATTATCTGTATATAATAAATGTTATACCTAATCCAAGATTAATTATTTCATCTGTTGCTGAATATGAAATTCCAGTTATTTTAATGCATCACAAATACAAACGCTAAATAAAATGCGATACGATTATTTCCTTACTTACATTTAAGAAATACATTTTACTGTATCGCGAAGGAATATCCAGTTAACAAAATGCATTCAAGTTATAGATATTTTGATTGATAGATGTAATGCTAAGTGCGCCTAGCCGCGTGGTGCGTTGGCAAGGCGTCGCCCCGAGGCTTGCGCTCCCGTCTTCTGTTATTACACGAGCACCTCGCACAAGCTTACACCAAGCTCCTACTGTTGCCATTTGCAGCGTATATCTCAGTACAGATATGTAACATATAGATTTGTGTACTATACTTTTCTATGTATTAGTTTAATTGAATACTGAAATGATTAAATCAATATTGAACAAAAAAAAAACTTTTCCTTCCTTATCTTTGCTGCCAGATATCGTCTAATTGATTGATGTTGTTTATTAACACCATAACTAATTCATTTGTTTTTCTACCTCACTATCCTTTGTATTCGTATAAAATATAACAAGTCCCAACATAAATCAATGCCACATTAACACTGTTCATGCGAAGATCGTTAAAGAAATAAAAAAACAAGACTAAATTAGTGACGGCATCCCGATACGAATCCAAATAAAACTACAGACAAACAGTTTTATCATTGGAAACCATAAAGTATGCTACCCACTGAGTTGTGGAGCTACCTCAAAGGCGAAAGTATAATATCAGGGAGTCCCGCTGAGTTTCTTTGTGTACAATGAAGAAGGCGCGGGTAATCATTTTGTATGGGGATCAGCCGCTACCCTAATTCCGCGGCTCTCTTCCCATTGTGACTTATTTGACTTCCGAATGCTTCTGTTTCACTTTGTATTTATTAAAGTTTTGATCGACTTTTGATGTCAAATTCATATCTTAGGTTATTCAGTAAAGTAAATAAAAAATTGATAATATTTAAAAATCAAAACATAACAAATACATGTAAAATTGTACATAAGAATACTAGAACCGTCAAATATACTTCATGTTTCTTTGTAATCATAATAAACCAATTAATTGTCTATTATCTCCATTAACTGTCAATTCAAAATGGAATAATTACGTTGAAAATCTTGTTGAGCCCCGGCGCGGTAAAACATCGTGCACATAATACAGAAATGACTATGAAAATTCATGAATAAAAGCAGATTCTGAAAAATGAATTACTTGTCGAAACCAATTTCGCTCATTTCAAAGGGGTGAAGGGGTGGGGGTTAATGCTACAATTTTTGCGCAGTAATGCCTTTTGAGCATTTGAATATAAATGACGTCTGAAAGTGAAATGTAACATACATAATAAGTGGCTGTTTTAAGCCTTCGTGAAACCCTTTTGTGGAATGTAGAGTTATGACTTGATAGACAGAACATTTAAAAGATGTCATAGTGCCAGCGGAACTTTACCTAGATTTTTTGTTTAGCGCCATATTTTAAACGAAATATTTTGGGCTTGCGATAATTGTGGTAAAATAGTATTGACATATTATTTATTTATTTATTTAACACTTTATTATATATTACTTGTCATTCTACATGCTTACCTAGTTTACTGAACCTCAAGTCTTTTAAGTTTCCTATTAAAAGACCTCGTGAGATATGTACACCTCAACAGTTTTTTTTTTTCAAGTAGATTAACCACCTCTGAATAAATATTGTATCAGATAGATAGTTTTTATGATACGGTTTCACATTAAGATAATCAAACATTGCTTTAAAGCACAAAAAGTAAAAAAACTAAGCAAAGACAATTTTAAAAATATAAAGCACAAAAACATTCATTAGTTTGAACTCTCTGTACAACGAGTTACTCTGTGGTAACCCTCGAAATAGAGTCGTTCCGTACTTTACTGACGAGTCACGATGCTCCGTTTGAATTTAATATATTTTTCATTTCCGAGACCATTAATATGTAAATAATTTCTTCTAACTTTTATAAAAAAAAACACAGCCCGGGAACTGGCGAACTTTGTCAAGTTAAAAGGCGCACAGACTTGTTGATTTGATCATGAATATATTTAATTCTATCCTTTTAATAAAAAATACCGCTATATCTATTCAAATATTGCAAGCAAACTTATTTATTTTTATTTAATTGTAATCGAATAAGGTCTCTGTATCCCGAAATAATCGGAATGGAATGATCGAATCATCAAACCCTGATCGGACAATAGATAAGGCTTCTATCAATAAAGTAATAAATTATTTCCACTTCCTTCATTTTATTTTCTATCATCGTAAAGTTGTTTATGTGATCGATGATATCAGGAAGGCTCACAATACAAATAACAATGACAATAAATTAATTTTTAAGGTGTGAAGCGTGGAAGTAGATCTCTACAATAGAACATACTTAGAAGGGGATATCGAATAAGACGATTTTTGCCACAGCGATATTAAAGTTTTATTATAAGTGGTAATAAATGTGTACCGATTTGAAATTCTAGTAAAGGTTTTTCTATGGTATTTTAGACATTTATAAATAATTAAGCAACAGCTATTGTAGGTGTGTAAAGTCTATTGATAACATTATAGTGTTTAGATAATGAAAATGTTCCAATGACTTAATTATGACGGTTAACTCAGTTTGTTAACGGCGGCCATATTCATTACAGAATGGCTGGTGGCCTAAACAGATATTCCGGAGGCGCGCGCGAGGACAATGCGCTCCAATCTACCACCAAAGCCGATGCACGCAGTGATTAGTTAATTCTGAACCGTTCACAGCCTAATACCGCTGCAGCGGGTTCGAACCATTCTTGTATGCATAATCTGATTACGCTAGGTAAGTATTAAACAGAGCTTTGGATAACGCCGTCCTCCATTTACATAGCTAACGCGAACTACACGTAAATTACGTCATCGCTTCGATTATAAACCGATATTGTAAAATGTAATCAAACATGAATACAAATAGAGACAGATAAATTTGCATTCTTAAGAATCGATTAAGAAAATCAAATCCGGCGAGCGCCGCCGCGTGAAACATTTGCTTGACACCCAAATCAAAAATCGTTTTAGTGAACCCTCCGCTAGGGGAGCCGAGGAAGCGTCGACGCCTCAACATTTATTATTTCAGACATATCACTCACATGCAAAACAAACTCCGTCCGATCCATCAAAAAGTTTCTTATTCTCGTACCCCCCTTGCCCCTTTCTCCTCTAGCCCCGACTGTTACGTCGTCCCCGCAACACAAATCGAGTGTGTAAGTAGTGCGGTTTGCGGAAACAGGGGGTCACGCCTAATGTCTATTGCCTATTGATTTGTAATGAATGTTGATTAACTTACACTGACAAAACTTTCTCCATCAATTAGCTTTCTGTCTATTGACATTATATTGTGTTACTTTGTTTTTAGTACGTCGTAGATTAATAGTTTTTACAGCTTACATTATTCAAAGTAAAATTAATTACTGTTTAAAAAATATTAAATATATTTCTATTTCACGGTCTGCAATATGCAGTCATAGCGGAAAAATAAAAATAAGCTCAGTCATCCAAAAGAAATGAGCATTGTAACCTCCCTAACAGTCAACAAAGCTTCGAAGAAAATCGAGCGAAAAAAGGCTAAAAACACCTTAGGGGTTTACTAATCGAATAAAAAATATCAGCGGCCGATGCCGATGTGTGGGGGAGAAATGGAATAAATTATAAAGAAAATACAAGTAGCGGAAGGGGCCGCTGCAAGTAAAAACTTCCCTTAGATATAGATAACTTGTCTTATGTTCACCCTGTAGGAACGACGCGCTTTACAATTTGGCTTTAAAATTAAACTG